CACCCGCAGTCTCCCTCTCTTTTCCCTCCTTCTCTCCTTTACTACACTTATCTATTACACTCACTTGCGATATCGGGCGATCCAAGGTGTCGAGACCCATCCACTTGTCGCGACGCGGAGTGCAATCATGGAGCACCTCTGCGGGGGTGGTCGCGCGCAGCCGACGGTGATAACACGGTGGTAGGAGGGGTGCCGCGGTCACTCGCGCACCTGTCCAAGTCCGCGCCGACCGATTTCGGCGGTCGTGAAGGACGCAATTTATATATATATATATATATATATACGGCCCCGAGACGTAGGTCACTCTGTCGCACCACCGCGCGAGTCGCGCAACATCACCCGCGTACGATCCCCCATCGGACGTTGCCGGGCACACACACGGAAATGCTCATTCGCGATGACGATCGCGGCCGACGACACCCGCGGCGCGAAGTTGCCAGCGATTTGAAGTGCGGTGCAAGTGCCGCGACATTCTCGACTGGCGCGCGCGCGCGCGCGCGCGCAGCAAGCGACGAGTGAGCGAATACGACGAAGAGTATGAGGGGAAGAAATGAAATACGAGAGAAAGAGAGAGAGGAAGATGGAGGAAGAAAGAGAGGAGAGAGAGAGAGAGAGAGAGAAAGAGAAAATTCGGTGAGGTTGCGTGGGCGCGCGGCGGACGATTTGAAAACACGACGTTCTTGACGACGACGGCTCGAAGTCGTCACGACGACTGGCGTAACCGACGACAGAGAGCGACACGACAGCCCCCGACGGCCGGGTCCGACGCATGCGTCCTCACCACCCTGTGCCCAACCCTGTTTTCCCAGAGACGGCCACCCTCCCGCGCACGTAGCCAGCCGCTTGCCTTTTTCCTTCCATCTCGTTCCGAGTTACCGTTCTGCCTGACAGATCTCCGAGATGGCAGATCCTTGAGACGTTTCTGTGCCGCAATGGTGAGAGCGAGCTTGCACAGTGCGACGAGAATACCGTGTATAAGACCTGGAGACCTGTTTGCCTAAAAATCTCCTGCAAGCTGCTTATCATCGTCTCTTTCTATCGCTTCCTTGTTGCTAATAACTATCGCGATGTATTCCTAAGAGTTTCTCGAAAATGCAATTGCAAAGGTTTGTTCTACTGTGAGGAAAACTTTCCTAGAAATTCAATTGATATCGTAAAATATCTGAAATATTTAAATTATGCAAACATTAAATGTCATTTAAAAAAAAGTTATGTCTTTTATTTGGATATGATTTTATTAAAGTGTCTGTAAAATTTAAATTAAAATTGATTAAATTTGATTTCGAGAAATTTCTAAATAATTGATAAAATTGATTTTTGAATTAAATTAACAAAAATATACGCGATTTTTAATTGTATAGAAACAAATATGCTTATTATACATAGGAGAGGGTAGTATTTCCTTAAATTTGGAAGATAAATTGCTCGAGGTAAGAATCAATTTGGCTCGTTCAATTCATTTATCTCCCTGTCTCTTATCTGCTTCGCAAAAGCTGTACAATCGAGGTTTATTATCAATAAATAATGACTAAAAATGCAGTAATTCGTCTACATGCAATCATATATACGCCAAACAATTGTCAAAAAGCCATAATACATATAAGATCGAATTTGATGTCTCTTGTATTTTTTTCTCTTGAAAGCTCATTAGATACAACCGTAACCTCTGTATTATTCTCACTAATTATTGTTAGATATTCTAAAAAGTTTTGTTTTTGAGATTTTAAGAAAATCGCTAGAACATTGCTAGAACATCGCAATAGAGATTCTAAAACTCATCATTAAACTTTAGTTTGATTTTAATTGCAGAATAGGTAATGTGAGAGAAATGAAGAAAGAATTTTGTTAATCAGTATTGATTAAAACTTTCTTGTTACAACTTCCGTAATCTTTGGAAAATATTTCAATATTTCCCAAAGATTACGCCATATGGCTTTTATCGTATTTAGATCTGATATTCTTACAAAATCCAATTTAATACTGGTCAATTTAATACTGACAGATAGTGATTAATTACTTATTAATTGGAATATTAAATTTCCGTCTGCAACGTATTTTTACTTCTTTCCGTTCAGCCCAAGTTTTTTTTATTATTTACAGGACTTTTAAAAATGTAGGAAAATTCAAACAATAATAGATGAAAAATTCAAAGTTATTTTTCATCATCTTTATAATAGTGTATTAAGATATTTTGAAAGAGGTTACCGGACCTCATCCTCCTTTATAATTTTAGAGAAAAAGAATAAAATTTTAATTACATCAAAAATTATTCAGATTACAGCCGAATTAAAAATACTATAATACAACAATGCTTTTAATACCCAAAATAAGTAATTAATCACTATCTTTCAGTATTAATTTTCTATAAGAAATGGATGAAAGGATTTCAAATGAAAGGTTTTTGAATATATATTCCACTACTAACTATGTGATTGCGAAATTCGATTTCGATTGATATCATAAATCAAAAGATCACGCGCGTGCCCTCGAAATTCAAGTTCCATTAGCCGCGCATTGTATATCATTTACACCTGGACAAGCAGATGTAAATTGGCTGTGGAACACGGTGAATCGCCAATAATCGATAATAATCACGTTTGAAATTGTGAAGTGTTAAATATGCGCCTCTCGTCTTCTTCAATTCTTTGTTAAATTTTTTTAATTGAATTATATCTACGATTTTTACGTTAATTGACGAATAATTTTAACATATAAAGAATTACTTCTTCTTTATATTGTACATCAAAATTATTTCATAATTTTATGTAAATTTTATTTTAGAAGCAGCTCCAACTTTCTTCGTGGGACTATCGTCGGGTCATAAAAATGTTTCACGCGGTGGGATAATTGCGCGAAAAAAGAAGGGCAAGAGAAGATAAAAAAGTTTTAATAACTCTCTCATGCGTAATTATTCCCTTACCCTTTCACCATCATTTATTGCTGCACCAATACAAAACTGTACAAACAAGATTAATAAATGCGTAGGACAGCCGAGTATCTCGTTTTTGGTGAATATTAGTCAAGGATTTACGACGAGCTTTAATCGAGATAATGAAACAACATGCGATGGAATCAGGCTGGAGTCGAGGGTTGCATCAATCACAAAGGCTTCATATTTTTTAAACTCAAAGGAGAATGATTGCCAAGCGCGTTTGATGTTCTAAAGTATAGCTCCCGCCGATGGTCGCCGCAAAGCTTTACGAGTCTAGATTAAAGCGTGTAATACGAGCGCTTTACTTGAGCACGGTACTTAGATACATTATTTCCTCTGTCATTAATTACACAGCTTTGTACATGATGCAACCCAGTTCAGCACATTCGAGCAAGCCGTTCATATTCGCTTTAATTTTGTCCACAGGAAAGTGAATAGACTGGAAAACGATTCAACAGTTAAAAAAATAATATAATAGGAATTCATATAAAGTTATATATTTCAACCATTCAGAGAATGATTTAAAACTTTTTATATTTAATATGATAATGATATGATAGCGAGATGCTGCAATGAGTAACGAAAAGACTTGTAGCGTTCAGTTTCTCTTTGACGAAACCACGAGAAATGGAACGTATAATCGTTCCATTTCTCGTGGTTTCGTAGTCAACCTAATTTTATACAACGATAAGAACCGGAATTACGTAATATAGCAAGAAAAGAGAATACAAAATTAGACAGCACGCGTCTGAATAGAAACGTCCGAATATATGCACGATCCGACATCACTTGCACCGCTATTACCAGAGAACGAAATAATATACATACAGAAAGAATACATTATTTCTGTGCTTTTGAACTATTTCCTTAAAACTCGGAGACAGATATCGCGCTGAATTGTAAAAAGAAAAAAAAGATACATATGAATACCATTTAGTATTCAGTGCAGAGATATTGAACGTCTCCTCGTTTATTCAACTTTTCAATGAATAATATAAGTAGATAACGTTTGAAATAACGAAGGCAAGGTTCATTTCGAGATAAGGAAATATTGTATTTTTCTCGAAATAAATCTTGCTTTCACTATTTCAGACGTCATCTACCTGTGTTAAAAGAAAAATGTAATTCGACTAGTAATTTACTTATTCTATACACGCAATATTCGATTCTTTTATACAATCAGCAATTATTTTTTATAATTATGCAGCTTTTTATATATATCGTTGAATTTCGCAACAATAAAACGTAATTGAGTTTATATAAATTAGATCGTCTCTCCCATTTCTTAATCTGATATGAATACAATAGATCAGACTGAAACGTTACAACAATCTAATTACCGAAGCTACGTCGGTTACGTGAGTAGAGTTTGCATGCCTATATTGTCAGTTGTTTGTACTCTGCTCAAATCACCCTCAGGTCCTCGGGAGATAATGAATTTCGAAATGTCAGAGTTTTGTCATGCAAGCTTCAGCAACTCGCAGTGAAAATAAGAATATAACATGATATATATCAGATAACCGAAATTGAGATGGAAAATAAACACCAAGTACAAAAATTGGACATAAAAAAGGCTGCATTGTCTTTAAAAAATAAAACTTAATAAAAAATTATTCTTTCAATAACATATATTTACTTGAAAAAGTTCTTTCTCGCCTGTTTTTCAAAGAATTAGTCTTACAGTGAAGAGAACCACCATTTCCTCTTTGTATATAATAAACATTATAACGCTGTGAAACGAGACGAGGGTCGTTTGGTTGCAAAAGCAAACGCTATTACACGACGAATAGAATTTCAGATACGCTAGATGGTATACGGGAGTGTAACTTGTTTGCATTGCATAGCCTCAGGGTTACGCTACGCGCCGTTGCGCTACGCAGGGAAATCTATATACTAATTTTCGTTCTAATTGTATACGTAATACTCAAAGGTGCATATATGAAATCCAATGATATTAGCTGGCAATTCGTATAAAATCGTAACAAATCAATCTAACGTGATATATATGTACAACTTAAAAGAATGCAAGCTTAATAAACCAAAGAAAATCCACCAATGATTGTAAAAAGTTATTTTATTCAAGCAAACATGAATTCTTCAATTCGAGTCTCGGAAATCGTACTGTCTGCTCGATCCACTTTGCCACTGTAAGTAGCCTCTGTTCGTGAAAGAGCGGCGCCATTAATTGCAAGGACAAAGGTAACCTATTGCGAGAGAGTTTGATTGGTACATTGATCGCAGGCAAACCAGCCATATTCGCGGGTTGCGTACAATGATCCTGAATCAAACATTGCGTCTGATTGTCCAGTTGTACAAATTCGTCGTATCTCGGGGCTTCAGTCAGCGTAGTTGGAGTCAGCAGAAGATCTACATTACTATTCCATACAACATCAAAATCCTGCGCGATTAATCTACGCATCTTCATTGCTTTAACATAATATTTCTCGTAATTTTCCGCCAAAAGAAAATAATTCCCGACTAATATACGACCTTTGACCACATTATTGAAACCTTCCGATCTAGTTTTCTTGTACAGTTTGTGAGCCGAACTCCATTCATTGGCTCTGTGACCATATTCTATGCCGTCATAACAAGCCAAGTTGCTAGCTACATCGCATCGATTTAAAACGGAATAACATACTATAGAGTAATCGGTATGTGGTAACGACACTGGGACGACACTGGCTCCTGCTTCTTTCAGAAGGCAAGAGACTTTTTCCCAACATTCTGCAATTTCTTCACTTATGCCTTGTACTCCGTACTCCTTTGGTATCCCAATCCTAAGATTACTAATATCTATCGTTTCGGATAAGTTAATTGGAACATATTCTCTCTGTACAGTAGTGGGATCTGCTTGGTCGGGACCAGCTATGGCATTTAAAATTAATACAGCATCGTCTACTGTTCTCGCGAGAATACCAGGTACATCCATTGAATTTAATAGAGGAATAAGACCATAACGTGATACCAAACCATAAGTTGGTTTCAAGCCAACTAGACCACAATAGGACGCAGGATTGCGAGTAGAACCACCAGTGTCAGAACCCAAGGCTGCATAACAGGTACCTGTAGCTACTGCAACCGCCGAACCTCCACTACTGCCACCTAAGATGAATTTATTATATCCCAAAAATTGTTACTACTTAATAAACACAAACAGTAATACAACATTAATGTTATAATTTTACATCAACACAATATAACTGTTACATACGATATTGTAAGTATACGTTATAACAGTAAAATTATAATATTGATGTTATATTACAATCAATTGGTGTTTATTATATAATGTATTCCTCAACGTAAATTAGGTAAATGACAAGTGCACTGAACAATGACTAATAATTTGTGGCAATGTACCTGCTATGCGCCATGCATCTTTTTCATGGAGTTTCCTTGTAGTGACCTGCGAATCGTCAGACCCGTACGAATAAAATTGAGACAACACTTCTGAGCCCCATAAATTTTTTGTTGGTCCATAAAGCGAATCTACAGTGCCAGAGCCCATAGCAAACTCATCAAGATTAGTTTTGCCGATCAAAACAACTCCCTGCGTCCTGAGCTTCTCGTAGACGGTGGCGTTGTAGCCCGGGGAAAAGTTTGCCAACATCCGAGAAGCACAGGTCGTAGGTTTACCCTTGACACAATAGTTGTCCTTAACGGCAATGGGAATGCCGTCGAGCTGTCCCAGTAACGAGTTTCTCTGTTGTCTCTCATCGGCGGAGCTTGCCTGCTCTCCCGCAACATCATTTGTCACGTTGATATAAGGATTTAAAGGCTTGACGATTGAAGTCAATTTAATGGAGGCCTTACAGATCTCGGATGGTCGCACCGTACCACCACAGATCTCCCGACTAGCTTCCTTGATCGGAATAGATAATAGCTTATTCATCGTCCATCCCGTAACATGCCACTATTATGTATAACCTTTCTATAGGCGACAGACACATAACCTCAAATTAATCGCAATTGGGAAGCAGAATTTCTACCGCGCAAGCAATTATGCGAGTTCTGCGAGTGCGAGAATGCGAGACATTCTCAATAATCGAACGTATCTCTTAGAATCGAATCGAATATGGTTCAAATTCGAATAGTCGATAAATCGATTACTTATTATTCGATTTATATTCAAAATGTTTCGATTGTAAGGGTAGAGAGAAACCTGAGAGAGGACGCAAAATGTCGCCGCGCACTACTGTCCTCTGAAGAAATGGATGTAAACTACACAACAATGTTCATTTTTTTGCGGTAAAAGACGAAGAAAGATGAACTACAAAAGTTCAGCTAAAAAGAACAAGCCTCATTAAGGAGACTCTTGTGTCGCAATGTTCAAAATCAGAGTTTGAAAGTCAGTTTGGAAATCTCAGTACCTGTTCAAAGCGAAATTGGAAACTTGATGTTACCTACTTCGGAATTAAAAATATCCTAAAAGCCGAGTTTTATGATAATCAAATTACTTTTCTTAAATTCCGTTTGTCATTCTAAATCTACTATTTAGAATTTTTAAATTTTTACCTCAATTTGAACAAAGCTTTATCAAATTATCCTACAGCCCAAACTTCATAAAATTCAGCATGCAATTTATGAAATAAAAGAGTGCATGACACCAAACAGAATCGTCGGTCCACGAAGAGTTAATTACTTGAAACTATTTTAAAATGTACTATACATAGCGAATCGAAAATTTATTAAGATGTATAATGTGTATACACACGAAAAAACACGACTATGGTTGCCAAGACTAAAAGTCGTTTGAAATTGTTTATTTTAAGGAAACGGATGTATGCAATACTATACAAATTTGTCCGAATTGTTATTAAATTCATGCATACATGTATTCAGGTATGTACATGATATATTAATAAAATTATCATACATCCGTTACCCCAATAAAAATGTTGAATTATCACTCACCAACCCGATGCGCAACAGTGGAGTTACATCTGCAACGTCGCTACGATGATTCTGTAACAAATAAATTAAAATCCAAATTAAAACAGAGTAAAGAAATAATCATTACTTTAAAAAATAATTGCTATATGAACGCATGCAGTTTGCTGAAAAATACACTGTAAAAAATAAAATGTTAATTTTAACTTACAGTCGTACAGTGGATTTTCTGAGAAACGCAAAAATGTTAAAATTAACATTTGTGTGTTAATTTAACATTTTTGCATGTCTCAGAAATTCCACTATACGACTGTAAGTTAAAATTAACATATTATTTTCTATAGTGTAATCATGCAATTTTCAAAATATAATTTTTATAAGTATCGAATTTTGTACCCATTATTTAATTAGATATAAAACAATTATATATATTCTCTAAAATAATTATATATATTTTCTAAATTAATTAGAAGGAAATTCACCGATATTGACATACCACTTTGTTTTCAGACAATATTTCTTAAACAAAAGGTAAAAATAAAACTTTAAAAACATAAAGTACAAACTAAAAAATGTCTTCCATCAGATAGTATAGGCAGTTTTTATTATACTGTTTGCAATTTAGCGATAATTAATTTTTTATAACGTAAGCAAAAATAAGCGTTTGACAAAATGGGCACCAAACTGACACAGTAGGCAGTAGTGCTATGTATTATCCAGAATAAATTCTTAATTTCACTGTAATAGAGATTATGAAAACAGGATTAATTTTTGGAATTTTGTACTGCGACGTCCTACTATGCTAAATTATATTCTTTAACATTTGCATTCTCATGGTTGTTCTGACGATGGTCACGATTTGACCGAAACGTTTAGATGTAATTTTATTTTAAATATATGACTTGTGCAAATAATAACTTGCATACATGGCCGTATGCTCTTTCTTATTTTTGTTTTGGAATATATATAATTATTTTATCTAAATTGTAAGTAATTCTCCTTTTATCTAATTTAAATAAAAGGAGAGTTACTCAAAAATTACTTAAAAATTTTATACAAATTTATTTTTGCTAAGATCTTTAAAAAATATATATAATTATTTTAGAGAATACATAGGTATATAATTACTTTAGAGAATATACAATTATTTTATAGAATTATTTTATATAATCATTTTATAGAGAGAAAGAGAGAGAGAGAGAGAGAGAGAGAGAATACAGAATTATTTAAATCATTTTATTTAACAATGATTTAAAAGTAATCATTTTTTAATCATTGTTAAATAAAATGATTTAAAAACAAGTAAAAGGTTAATTTTACAAATAAATAATAATACTTACCGCAAGGTTGCTCTACTGGTGCCCGATGTCTCTCCCAGACCTCCTCTTCCTCTCAGAATATAGTTGCATCCTCTCGCACAGGACACTCGCGTCAAACACTCGCGAATAATGGATTATAATCGCGCGCGGACTATAACTTTAGTCCGATAACTAGAACGGCACTCCCGAAACAAACGCGCGACGCGACGAACCGGCTGCGGTTCGTTCATTTTCAAATAAATCGGTGACGAGGGTACGTTAGCTTCCCCATTGGAGTTTTACACGAAGAGAGTACTCGATCACTGTGCTCGATCGCAACGAAAAGCACGAAAGAGGCAATCGAGAACATTCATCGACAAAATCGCAAGTAAATCCGGCTTCCACAGACATTATCTCACGCACAAATAATCCCCCGTCGCTGTCGGAAACGAATATTGCACATACACGTCGCGAACGCATATTTGAACCGGTGAGAATTCAACGACAATGGCGGAAGGACGATATATATTCATATAATTTCGACGAGCCGGGTCAAAAAGAAACCCAAGATTCACCTCATTTAGCCTCCGGTATTCCGCGAACGCGGCTAACTTCGCAATTTCACTGTGCTCGATCGCAACGAAAAGCACGAAAGAGGCGATCGAGAACATTCATCGACAAGATCGCAACTAAATCCGGCTTCCGCACGCATTATCTCACGCACAAATAATCCCCCGTCACTGTCGGAAACGAATATTGCACACACTTGTCGCGAACGGGTATT